GCACCAGCAAGCAGGTCGTTGACCCCTGACATTGATAACACGCCACCTTTCGTGTTTTCGTCAAACAACAATGAATGCAGTTTCGGAGAATCGTGATCGGACACGGTTTGCAAGGAATGTATGGCACGTGGACCAGATGTGCGGAATGCGAGTTACCCGAATCGCGATTTGGGTGACTTCACATAAACAAGGCTTCTGACTGGTTCACATTGCACTGCAGCACAGGTGTCGCTGCTATACATGCATTTCAGTACGTTTGGGAATTCCGATAACGTTTGGGAGTGCATGTATAGCAGCGACACCTGTGTAAAAAGAGTCTCTTTACTCAATGACAACAGTCGTCTATTCTTAAATCTACCCACAATGTCATACTAGACATGCCCGGATGTAGACAGACAGACAGACAGAGTGACGTAATTGTGACGTTCTGTCTGGCATGTGAAGGTGAACAAAAGCACCAGGTTAAATAATAAATGAGATCATTGATCAACGGAGTTGACAATGACATCACAGTTCATACATTATTGATGATCGTATTTGGGCAATACACCTGTGTATAGACCCTCATCTTTGCTTATCACTGGCTCAGATTTTGGTCCAATCGAGTCCAGATATAACCGGCTTAATCCGTTTGTACGATTGTACGATACGCCGTATTCAAACAAAGGTCAACAGCTGTAATGTCATTTGCATGATATCTACGTTATATGGAGAACAGAGGTTTATATCTGTTACCTTTCCTGGTTTAAACTCATCTTGGTTTGCAATTTTCCATCCTCCAGGATTTTGATTGAGGGATTGTACAGGACTGCCCTTGACAAGATGGAGGTGACTACAGAGATGAGAGCAGCGCTCATGGAGGGTCACATGACGGCGTTACCGCCGGACAAGTCCAACATCGTTCGTATCTTCATGAGCTCAACTTTCTCGGGTGAGCCGAGAATCATTTTCTATCTTTTACCTGTTATTATGGACCCTTGCTGACAGGTTCCGCACTCTATTGTTCTATGTTAAAATATATGCAGCCTACATCTGATTTGTATTATTACTTACTTGTACTTGTACTTGTTGAGGTCTCCTCGAGTCAGTCGTTCGAGTGGCCTGCGCACAGAACTCGTCTCTTCCTCAACAGTCCTCTCCACTCCTTCCTATCTCTTGCTAGTTCCTTTAACTCTTCTAGACTGGTACTGGGTCTCCCTAAGATCAGCACAGCATCTTCCAGGACACAGTTATTCCATGACTTCCTAGGCCTTCCCCTAGAGCGTCGCCCATAGTTCGGTTTCCAGTCTAGTAGATACCTGGGCAGCCGCTCTTCAGGCATTCTTACAATGTGCCCAAACCACCTAAGCCTGTTGAAAGCTACGGTTGTGGCTATGTTCACTAACTGTGCCTGCAGCAGTACATCACTGTTCCGTACCCGGTGATACCATCTGATGCGGAGGATACGGCGCAAGCAGCGTTGATGAAACGTTTCAAGTCTCGCTATCTGCACCTGGGTAGTGGTCCAAGCTTCACTACCGTAGGTAAGTATGGTGACAACAGCAGCATTGTATATCCGAAATTTTGTCGACTGAAGGATGTTCCTGTTGTTCCAGATCTTACCAAGTAAGTTAAAAGCACCAGAAGCTTTCTGAATCCGTTTGGAAATTTCAGAGTCAATTGTCCCGTTACTGCTGATTGTACCTCCCAGGTAAGTAAAGTGAGTAACCTGCTCCACGGGATATCCATCTACCGTGATCCTGAGTGTGCTTTCTTCAGTGTAAGGTTGCTGTGCAATATGCTTGCCGACTGTCATAGCTTGCGTCTTTTTGGCGTTGGCCTTAAGTCCCGCAAGAGCACTGTTTTTGCATAACAGATCAGTTGTCTCCTGTAGACCCAGTTTCTTGTTGTCAAGTAAAGCCATGTCATCAGCATAGTCCGTATCCAAAACAGAGACCGACGGCTTGCCATGACTATCCCGCTGCAACACTGCACCTGTACTGATTTGTTTGCTTATCTCAGTTAAGTGTGCTGCCAGGTTTATGCAAACATTAAACACTGGGGGCCCTTGAATGTCCCCTTGTCCAGTCCCAGATGTCACATCGAACCAGTTTGATTCCTCTCCGTTCACTCTCACTGCACTGACAGTCTTGTGGAAGAAGGCCTGCAAAACCCTGATGTATTTCCCTGGCAATCCATAAAAAGCAAAGGCCTTCCAGATAAATTCACGGTTGATGCTGTCAAAAGCAGCTTTAAAGTCAATGAAGTTAATGTACAGGGGAATATTAAACTCGATGCTGTTATGAATGATAGTTCGCAAGGAGTAAATCTGGTCGATGCACGATCTATTCTTCCTAAAGCCACACTGATTGTCCCTCAGTAGATTTTCGAGACCCTCATTCAGACGTCCCAGGACAATAATTTGAAAGAGCTTTGAGGCAGTTGATCTAAGCGTTATACCTCGATTGTTGGCGCAGTGTGTAGTATCCCCCTTTTTTTGTACAATTGCAAGAAATCAAATATCTAGAGTTGTGAATATCTTGTTTTAGTTATTGTAAATTTCTTGCTGATTCTGTGCGTATTCCACTGTCGACATGTCACTCCTCCCCAACCTGCGGGCAGACGACCTTGACCTTCCTGTCAGTCTGTGGTTACTCCCTCACTTACTGTGTATTCTACTCATCTATGGTCACACAAGCCAACAAACGCGCCGAAAATGAAACCTCCAACTTGAGGTCTGACTTGTGTGTTCAGTGCACAGTATTAGACTGGCATCGGCAGGTGGACGTCGCTATGACAACCCCTGCAGACTGGCGGGAAGGCAGAACACGGCAACAGGAGGGGATTGTACACAACAGCCAGCTGTACGTAAGTTCACGTACTGACAATGTCACGGCCAAGTACAGGCGAGACCTGATCCCCGCAGAGCGACCCGTGACCAGGCACGACTCCGCTAGGTTCGAGTGTTAGTTACGCTGGCAGGACGGAGGACTTGGCAGCCAACAGAAGGTAGGATCGGGTATTATAAAGCTAGAGGAAAGAAATCGTAGTGTGCAAGGCCGTGATACAGCACGCATAACGAAGACATCTTTGTCCTATCATCAGTGAAGTAGGCAAGAAAACAAACAATAGTAGCGTCAGAGTCTAGGACGTCTTATCTGTATACTTAGTAGTTTCAGTTTTATTTAAAAACTCATGCCCGAAGGCTTTATCACAAGGTAACACAGAATGTATCTGGAATGTATCTGGTTTTTGTACGTACATTACTGAAGGCTTCTTCAGACAGTGACTACTGCAGACATGATTGTGTCTGAAGATCTAGAGATTTTCCTCCTCTTCGCCGATGAAACAGTAGAATCTGCGCTCCAGCCACCTGTGTTTGTTCTAACCGTCTGTCGGCCGGGGCCAGACGGTAGTGCCTCGCGCGGGACGGGAAACTTGCCAAGCCTTCCTGCACATGCCCCGGGGGTAGCGGTCTGACCCAGCCGCTGCGGAAACATGGAAACAGGCTATCAAGCGCCTGTTACTCTATTATCGTATAAACAGCCTGAACATTTACAGGAGATGAGATAGCTATAAGGACGTCACTACTCCTATTAGAGTACAGTACCCGACAGGACTACATGTAATTACTAGACATAGTCGGAAGTCTAAGAATTCTTGGTCAGACTTGGGGGCATTATCATTCATTACGACAGAAGCAGCTGATTCTTTCCTGGACCCTACAATTGTAGTTTAGCCACAGTTGAAAGGAGACGATGGGTTTTTCAACAGAAACGTTCTGTACCAGTAAGCCAACTTGTTTACTTAAACTTTGGAAGTTTAATATGGTGATTTACAGAGTAAAAGCGGATTAGTCCCAAGCCCGATTAGCTCAGGGGAAACTGGAGAGGTACTTGAAAGGCCCAAACTGCCCATTGTGTATATCAGTGCCATACTAAACACTGTGGTGTTAACAGGAACTCTCTGTGTGTTTTCTATTTGACTAGGTTGATTCCAGAGGTCCTGACATAGCCGGTACTGAGGCAGAGCCGGTGCAAGAGTTCAGCCGTCTGGAGGTGGCTCCGCGAACAATGATCCTCAGTTCACCTACTAGTCTTGGGTCTACTCCAACAATCCGATAAGGGCTCTACTAGGGTGGGCAAGCCGTCATTGGTGCAGCAGAGAAGGGGAAAAACGGGGACAACGTGTATTGCAAAAACCCTTCTCAGCGCCTCCGTTCATTTAGAACCGCTTGTCTTTGGTGATTTTGTGTTCAAAGCTTCGTTGTGCCCGGACGACGGAAGACGTTGTTGCATTGCTATCTATATATTCTTCAAAGTCGGCACCCGCGGTACTTCACATTCACTAGATTAGATCAACGGATCAGGAAGATTATTACTCCATGGGGATATGGTTCTTTTAAAACGCGTATCACCAATTGAATTGAGAGTCACTTGGGGGGATCGAAATTCTTGATGTTCGGGCAAGGTCAGAGTCACACTCTCTAGCTGCAGGTGGGTGTCAAGATGGAACGCGATCTACTAGTATATAAAGAAGCAAGACCGAGGCTCGCGCAAGTTTCTTTCCCAGCTCTCTCGATTTGCGTGAGTGCCGGTAAGATGCTGTATTTGTGACATGGACTCGGCGTGAAGACACCGTGAGAACGGCATCTTGAAGTCACTGGATCTTGCAGGATACCGCGGGAAATTTGGACAAGACTTGGCTTCTGTGGTAGCAGACTCTCGGGCCACAACAATCCAGTAAGTTCTGGTCAAACCTCACAATCTAGTTTTATAAAATACAGTATATATCACCAAATTGTAAAATAAATATGTTGACTAGAGCATAATCTCCAAGCCGATTTTTCCATGGCAAAGTCGTTACTAACCGGCAAGGCACTACTATTGAATTGGCCATATACCAGTAATATCTGATTGAGCTTCGGCGCTACCCAAAGACCTACTTGGAGATTATGCTCTAGTTAACTAACTCATTCGTTACGACTTTACCAACGAAAGATTAACCAGAACATACCGCTGGATAATTGGAATTAGAAATTGTCAGTAGTTTAAGAGTAACAGCGTTGTCTGAGACGTCTGAGAAATGTTTCCTCGTCTCGCACATGTGTGTTTATTCTGAACTTTCAACATCCAAGTTAAACATCTCCATATCACACGAAATTTCAGGGCTGAAAGACGACACTGTGTCTCGGGAACCGTGGCGTTTTGTTGCCAAGATGAGAGTGATGGAATAGGGCCGTGACTAAAACGTTGTGTCGACTGAAACTGGACTCCACGAACTTTGACGTACAGAAGGACTTCAGTCTGTCTTTCAACGTCGTCGTTTTGGACGACATCCAGCCTCACAGAAAAGGCAACTACATTAGGGTCATAAGTCGAGTCCTACAGTAGAAGCTCCGGAGCGTGTAACCATGGTTACTAGATGGGCTTTCTTCATCACCCTGTCCCTGCTGAACCTGCTTGTGGTGACGACAGTCGTGATGTGGAGTCTGTGGCTGCCGACTGTGGGCTGGTCAGGGGACGGCTCGGACTCAGCCACTCGTGGGAACCTATGGGCCCTCTGTCTGCCCAAACAGTCTCGGCAGCACAACGGCGAGTTTTACAAAACGTGGGAAGAAGCAGGCGACCAGACTTACCACCCGTTCCAAACCCGCGTAAGAGTGGTGCTGTGGAGCGATGCCTTGTGGCGGCGGACGGGCTTGGCTAAGAACAGGAACAGGACATGGTACAAGCTCTGTCCGCGGAGACCGGCGTGCGAGTTCACGCGAGAACACATGTGGGTGTCGTACGCGGACGCCGTGGTGTTCCACCTGCCCACTCTGCCGACGAACTACACTCCCGAGCTGATGCCACGCAAAAGGAAGGTCGGTAGAATTTCGGGGGTCAGGGGTCTTTAACCAAGGCAGTTCAATTATGAGCCGTGTTTATTGTGACTTATATGCTTACTCTGCTGCAGGGTATTATGCTATCAAAGATTTACAAAAGGTATGACAACACAGTATTTCTAACTGGCCTAGTTAAGCAAAAATGTTATAATAGGAAACTAAATGTTACAACTAACAACCACAGTTAAACCTAGAGAGATCTACACCTGTGACCTGGCTGAGCATCAAATATACTAACTAATCAAACCAAGCGCATAGTCCAGCTAATCTCGCGAGGCCTCACAAACGTTACACAGCCCCCTCCAATGAGCATACGTCCGCATGCTAACTGGCATAGGCCACGGTCGTTACAGGTCCATCAGAAGTGGGTTCTGTTCTCCATGGAGTCTCCCGTCGTCACCAGGGGTAAAAACATGGCGTCATACGGAGGGGTCTTCAACTGGACGATGACGTACAGGGGAGACTCAGATGTGCTGACGTCATATGGATCGAGAAGTTTGTTGTACAACTCCTTACCAGTAAGTGGATAATCTGTATATGTTGGTTGGTTGGTTGGTTGGTTGGTTGGTTGGTTGGTTGGTTGGTTGGTTGCCTGTTGGGTGATTGGTTGGTAGAGGAGGGATGAATCATGTATATCTGGCAAACATTACAGAATGTTTTCCATGTTTTTGTTTCCTAGGCGCTGCCAGCTAACCCTGGGAAACCACCGCGTAACTTTGCACGAGAAAAGGACCGTCTCGCGGTGTGGTTCGTCAGTAACTGCTACGCCCACCTCACACGCCACCACTACGCCAAGGAGCTGCGCAAGCACATCAAGGTCGACGTGTTCGGGCGGTGCGGGAAGTCCGTCTGCGCCGAGGACAGGGGCTACCGCTCCACCTGCTTCAAAAAGACCATCAAAAGATACAAGTTCTACCTAGCGTTCGAGAGCTACAAGTGTAGAGAATACATCACGGAGAAGTTTTGGCGAAACGCTCTAGAAAACGAAGTTGTTCCGGTGGTGCTTGGAGCTCCGAAGGAAGACTATATCCGATTCGCTCCGCCAGGTTCCTTCATCCACGTCGACGATTTTAAGTCCCCAAAAGATCTTGCGTTGTACCTAAAAAGGTTGGCCAAAAACGATAAGGAATACAACAGGTACTTCAGATGGCGGAGTATGCAGTTTAGAAAGAACACGACATTGGATAAGGGGCGCTGGTGCAACCTTTGTGACAAGTTGCTTCAGACGTGTCCTCAGGAGAGAAAGGTGTACGCGGATATTTACAGGTGGTGGAAAGGCAAGGAGGGAGAGGAATACTGTGAACGAACGCTGCTACCAGAAGACATCCCAAAGCCACATTTCGACCTCAGTATACACTTTAGCTAAACAGTGGTCTACAGTACCCACGTTTGTAGTAAGGACAGTAATAACAGATACAGCAAATGAAAGTTTACTTTAGACTTCTTACCGTGTTGTGCTCACCGGCAGCCAGTCTGCTTGTGAACACCCTGTTGGTACATGTGCTAACCTTCTCTATTAGGACAGTGATTGAAGTAATCAGTCAGTGTGAAGGTGATCCATGTATGTGGAAACGGCTTCTGACAGGCTGGTACAAACTATGGGTTGCCGAGAGGAAATTCCACTGGATGACGGTGTTACTGACGGTTCCAGCTGCAACTCGGAAAACATCATAGCGTTGACTGTTAGGATGGAGGATCGAATCTGTAATTTTTTCTATCCTGTGTACAAAACTATGAAAGGGAGCATGGAAGCGCCATTTCAGTTTTTGTATCGAAAACGTATGGCCCCGCCCGGGAAAACGCCAGAATTTGAAATATGCCCTAGTCGGGAAAATATGACCCGAACTTCGGAATGGAAGACTATCCCCTAGGCCACTGCACTGGCTACTTCCGTACTTCGGATATGAGTAATTTGGAATGTAGGAGGCGATCAATAGATACAAACTATGAAAATTATGTCTAGGTCATCACTGGCGAGTGGTAAATGTGGAAACTTAAATCATTTGGCGAAGGTATTGTGGAACTCTAGTTAAGGTTCATATTACGAGGTGAATTAACAAAAATGTTGCGTAGGATCCGTACCGACATCCAGACAAATCCATTTACCAGACAAATGCCCCCACCTGGCCTGCACGGCTCGTGTTGACAGATGACCAGTCTCCTGATTGAGTTTCTCTTTACACATGTATCACCTTGCAGACGACACTTTCAACTAGGGCGCCTGTACTACAGTAGGCAGTCCCGGCCATGTTTGATCCCATGGTCCCGGCCATGTCTCAGGACACCGAGTTAGTCTCATGTTTGAAGTTCCGGTGACATGGCGACTCCGCAATCGGAGGGAAATGTAAGACTTTCCGTCGGTAATGTTGTAGCAAAGGAACCGAAATTCATCAGTCTATGCAAGGACATATATTATGTCCTTGGTCTATGTGGACTATGGAATAGAGGCTGGTAGGGCTTATATAACTTTCCCACAGTTAAAAGCTATGTAAGAAACATTGGGCACTTGTCCCATGGGGCCCAGTTGAAGGCTTTGGTAAAATAATCAGACCTGACTCGTCTGTGCCGTATGACCTTGGTAAGGTGACAGAGCGGGTACGGTTCATGTGCACTGCATCGTGGGCAATGGCACAGACTTGCAGGGGTTTGTTTCTGAAGACGGTCTTTCTTCAGTGGATCAAAGTGCCGCAGAGCGCTGATCTGTCAGAGCCACGTTCGGCGTGTTCTGTTGTGTCTATGGCGAGAGTCGGTGCACAAGAGCACACATCATCTAAACCCTGCTTCACAAAGGACTGTATCCCCTTTGAAAGATCTGCTCTGTTCCTGCCAAGATATGTGTCATATCTTATCACCATCAGTGATTCCTTAATCTTTTCAACAAACTAGACGATGAAAGATTAAGAAACGTAAGCGCAGTCGTCCATGTGCAAGGCGAAACTCGAGACTGGCGGTTCTTGTGTTGAACCATGTGTTGTACATCGCTGTGGTCACCGAGGCTGTGCCGTGGATTGTTGTTGCTATGGCAACTCAGCAGGCCAAGTTCAAAGGTTGCCGTGAGGTCGCATGTGATGAATGGGGAAGGACAGGTCTGTGCCAGCCGACTACAAACTTTAAAAAATCAATGTCGGGAAAGTTATATCATACTAGGATTTGATCACAGGAGCTACTAGTAACTGGCGCTGGAATAGGCTACTCCCAACCCAGTGCC